CTAGTCACGGTATTATGCCTTTTTATCCCATCTCTGAGTTCTTCATTATTTGGAAATCTAAGCAGCAGTTGGAACGTGTCATCATCGAAAGTGATGTTATTCTACACTGGAAGACTTCTTGCAGTTTTCAGTGTCTTCTACAGAGGTGATTTTTATGCAAATATTGCCATTGTTCGTACATGATGCGGAACTATTGAGAACATTTTTGTCTCTTTCCGCTATGAGAATAAACAACAGTAATGACGCCAGGAAGACCGTGTCTCTGGTAACTTTTTTCATTGCTTATGCTAGATTTTGCTGTGTTTACTGCTACTACTCTTTGTGTTCTATTTATCAGGAAGTTCAATATTTAAATGCCTACATTATTTCGTTTGTAATCACTCCATGATCACATTTGCAAAACGCCTTTGCAAAATCTGTGCACACCACATCCTCAATTTAGTTTCTTCCAACGCTTCCATAATCTTGACATAATGGTTTAGCAGTTGCGACAGACATGATCTTTCCGCTCTAAATGCGTGTTAGGTTTGTAACTTAGCGTCTCATCCCTATTTCAAAGACTTATGATGATCGATTTTAGAGATAGATACAGGTTTGTCAATTTTTTGCCAGCGGTCTGCTGCCTTTGTCTATGTCTACACTCTATAAGGTCTCCGGGGTTTCACCTAGATCTAAGATCTTCAGAGGATTCTGAGTGCTCGTGCTAGTGATATTTTGCTATTCTTTATAAATAAGAAATTCCACGAATCCGGTCCAGGTGCTGTATAAGCAGCAATGTTTTCAATTTCTTTCTGTGAATTCTGCAGGATTTGATGATCTACATGGCCTTCGGAGATAATTAAAAAAATCTACATTCTCCACCATGCTTTGGTTTAGTGGATTGCTGAACATTGCTTCATACTAATATTTTAGAAAGTCGCCCTTTTCGTTTTCATTGTCAGTGTATGAATCTGAAGTGAATAATGGTCTAATTTCACAGGTAGTGAAACTGGACCATTACTTGGGATTGCTTGAAATATTGTGGACGGCTTATTTTTCCTCTCATGTTTCAGTCTCGGTAATCTCTCTCGTTGTTCATCATGATCAGATCTACCATATTTTCATTTTTAGTGGCTTCTGTGATCTGTTGGCTCAAGGCAAACTTTTCACAAAGCTCTATTAGCTGTCTGGTATGTACGTGTTAAACTAGCCTGCTTCCAGGACTATTTCTGATACAATTTAAAAAGTTGAGATCTCCGAAGAGAATAGTGGGGATTTTCAAGATTTTTAAGGTAACTATAAATTTTCCTTATCTCATCTAAGAAATCCTCAGTCATTGTTGACAGTATTTTTTTGTTTGTTTTGTTTTTTATTTTTTGTTTATATACAATGATAATTACTAGATCTTGTCTTCCACTTTAATACCTACAACTTCCATTGTATCATTTGATAAATTCGACAGTTCTCTACAACAAACTATGCCTTTTAATATAGTTCTACGCCTTTCTGTGATCTACTTATTCTATCAAATCTATAAATGCTATAATTTTTTATTATGTCACTATGCAAAACATCCCTCGTATGTTTCTGTAAATGCTCCAAACATAGCATTTACTTTCGTAAACAGCCCACTACCATAGCTGCCTTTATCATTTTTTTTGTACTCTGAATGGTAGCAAAAGAAGGAGGTGGTATTACCATTTTGGATGTTTTTGCTTAGTGTCGATTTTGTTTGCTAGTACCACTGGTACTGTACCTTCTTGTGACATGATTCTTGGTGTACATGTTTCTGGTCTGCCCAGCACTGTTGTATGTTTGGCTCTGGTGTGTGTGTGTGTGTGTGTGTGTGTGTGTGTGTGTGTGTGTGTGGAACAGGTTCCCGGTGTCTGTTGCAGTGTGTCTCTGTATTCTCTCTGTTCTCGCACTGGATTTCTTTTTTTCTTAGATGGTATTTCTTACCCTCTGTTTTTATATTTATATAGTTTACTATATGTTCGGCCTTTTGATACATGGTTCTGTGTCGTTACGTATATATTATATATATATATATATATATATATATATATATATATATATATATATATATATATATATATATATATAATTTTGTGCAACTTACATCATAACATTGGTTACCAACAGTGATTTACGCATCCTTGACTTTAAATACGTGCACTCTACTGAAGCAGCACTCATCCTTACTGGAACACTTTCTGATACGTAGGCACCTACATACTATCACATAGTTGCAGGTGTCTCGTGAACTGTATCTACGCATTCTCTCTATTCTGTCTTTTTTCTGTGATACGCACTTTTGCTTACTTCATTGTTTCTTACGCTTTCTGGTTATCCTGCTCTGAGTTTTCTTGGCTATCCTGCTTTGATTCAGTATTTACTGAATTTTTCTGTCTATCCTTCTCTTCGTGTATTTATTGTTTTACAGTTTTTGTCTTTCTAGTTTAAGAAATGTTTTTGTGTGTGTTTCTTCATTGTGCATAACTAAACCTATGTCATCTACACTGTTCTGTGCGTGGTTTCTGTCCTTTCATTAACTATGTAGTATGTCATCAGTCTTTATTTCCTTCTAGGGTCTCTAAGAAGGATTTTGTTTGCTCCTTGTTAATACATTTCCATGGCATCTATTATGTATATCCAGACTTGTTTACATGTCCTACAGAACCAGATACATTTACCGTCACAGCATTTGTGTGATAAGTCTGATTGTGACGCCTGCATAGGATACGTGAATTTTTTTCCAGCACATCCCACAAAGGATGCTTCTTTCAATATGGTAAAACTTCCTTCACATTCCTCACAAATTTCGTCTGTGGACATTTTGACAACTGTCTAACTCTGTGTTGGTTATGGGGTATGGGATGCTATGGGTAATTGATGAGGAGTGTGGAAAACAGTTACATCCCTGCCTCAGACCTATCACAGTTTTCATTGTATCTTACAAGACAGTGTTATAAAACAATCTAGTTGATACAATGATTTTTCTAAAATTGTGTTATCGAGAAATATGGAAACGTCTGGTAGTGTGTGTATCACGTCGTCTGGTAGTCTGTGGCACGGTCGTCTGGTAGTCTGTGGCACGGTCGTCTGGTAGTCTGTGGCACGGTCGTCTGGTAGTCTGTGGCACGGTCAACTGGTAGTCTGTGGCACGGTCAACTGGTAGTCTGTGGCACGGTCAACTGGTAGTCTAGGGCATGGTCAACTGTCAGTCTGTGGCAAGTTCGTCTGGTAGTGTGTGACACAGTCAACTGGTAGTCTGTGGCACGATTGTCTGGTAGTCTGTTTCGCAGTTATTTGGTAGTTTGTGGCACGGTCGTCTGGTAGTCTGTGGTACAGGCATCTGGTATTCTGTGGCATGGTCGTCTGGTAGTCTGTGGCATGGTCGTCTGGTCGTCTGTGGCATGGTCGTCTTTGTGTTATCTTTTCCACAGTTCTTCCTGGATATTGCTAGGTACGACTCGAGTTTTACAAATACACAAGGATACAACCATGAATAGTTCCATGTTTTAATTCAGCATGGCCTAGCTGGTGACATTTGTTCACTCGCTACATTGTGACTGGTTGATTTCATTCATCATGATAGCAATTGCAATCTAGCTCTTGAAGCCCCCAGTACCTCTATTTACAGTCGAATTTCTGCTGACATTCTATTCAATTCAATTCAAACTTTATTCTCTATAAGTATTACAATGCTGAGTTTACAGAATTTGGTTATTGTGTGGTTTACATGTAGTAAAATAATAATTACAGAGTGTACCACTAGAACGCCTAGCATGGCTAGGCATTTCGGGCAGACTTATATTAAATCTTAGGTTTAAAATGTTACAAAATTATGAGATAAGTTGGTATTATGGCTAAGTGACTAAATACTAGTTGTGAGTTTAGCAATGTGAATGCTTTTGTTTTGGCATTATACGTAGTTTCAGTATTGGAGTATCACAGGCCAACTTATGACTAGTTAAGATTCATTATTTTGAGATTGAGATTGATATTTCTGTTTATGGTCAAATGGGTGAGTGAGTGTAAGTGTGAACCACCAGGTGGTATTCGTATTATTAGTTGACAGGGTGTATCAGGGAGATAAGATGTTTTCTGATGGTAGTTTTGAAGGTGATGAATGTGTCTGCAGTTTTGGAATTTTCAGGTAGGGTGTTCCAGATTTTAGGGCATAAGTGCCATCTCTGACAACTTAACTGATTCAAAGATTGCAGATTCCTTGACTCCGAGGTGTGGGTTACTGAGTGTAATGCCACTGGTTATATTATATTACTAGTTATATTATATCACAGATTCTCTCGCAGGAGACGAAGAGGTCTTGGTCACGTCCAAGTCTGGTTTATGCATTTCATGACCAGTGCAGTCTAATTCTGCTTGGTGAGGATCACATGCAAATGAGAGCTGTTTGCTTCGGTGTACAGATTTGATCTTCGAAACATCCTTGTTTCACATCTGGTCTCCAGATGTCAAGACGAGTGAGAGGGGTCAAAACCCCCTTAAGATAAGGGTTGCAGCCTCTTAAGAGAAGGATTGCAGTCTTGTTAAGAGAGAGTGGTAGCCGCCCCCTGTTGGAGAAAATTTCTCCACAGCACAGTCATCTGGTAGTTTGTGGCACAGTCGCCTGGTAATCTGTGGCACAGTTGTTTGAGGGTCTTTGGCACAGTCATCTAGTAGTCTGTAGCACGGTCATGGACTTTAGGGTCTTAGGTGTGGCTGCCAGGAACATCAAGGGCCACAATACCTCTCCTTCCTCCGTAAACACTGAAACCCAAGATATTACTATTTTGCCTCACACTTTACTGCTACCACCTTCCAACATTTATCTTCACAATTTAATATCGCTATTAATGGTTCTCCATTATGTTTCTATAACTATGCGATAAAATATAGAGGGACTTATCGAGAGTTTAGTTGATGGCCTATGGAGATCCTATTCACGATCTTTCTGTTGCTTGTAATACAATTGGCAGATTGTGTAAAATACCTCTACTGAAAAGCAGGGACGCGACATGTACACTAAAAAAGAATGCGATGAGTATCAGAGGTCCCCGTCTCTTCAACGCCCTTCCTCCGCGGGAAGACTGCTGCATGTCCTTCATGCGGAACTACGAAGAACAGCTAACTGGGAGAAGAAATGGAGAATCACGACCAATCCAGATAAAGTCCTCATCAGCACCATCGGATGCTTTGCAACAGCTATAGAAAACAAAAGGGGTATCTCCATGAGAGGTACACTTATTAATATCAGAAACCCAAACAAGATCCTGGGATATGAGATCGACAAATTACTCCACTCCACATCTCACGTCTCCAAAAAGGTGAACTTAGCTAAAGCCCACCTAAGCTAACTATACAGGTTTAATCAAGCTCCTTCCATCAAGAAACACCTGTACAGGATGATGATAAGACCTACTATCGAATATCCTTGTATGCCCATGTCACTAACAATGAAATCCAAGATGTTACAGCTACAAAGAATCCAGAACAGAACACTCCGCTTTATCACAGGCAAAGGCGGAGAGACAGAATCAGGATGGAAGATCTACACACCCAACAGGGGAGAGATACAATAAATGTCAGGCTAGATAGAGAAGAGACAACAATACGACATGCAAGAACTATATTTACCTGACAGAGAAAACCCTCCCCAACCAACAAACACCACCGATTACATCATCAACACACCTCCCCACAGAACCCATAGGATGACCCTCCAACAAAGAGTCTGACGCTTCATCCACACAGAGAATTTCCATGGACCAAAGATCCTGAGTGACCTCCCTGCAGATATAGAAGATTGAGTACCAACAGAACCTCTCTATGTCCAATAAGGATAAAACCACCACAATTTATGGAGACTTTACTTCTAACTAATTAACACTTACATTTAACCATGTAACATCTTCAAACCTACTACAGCAGGACACCACCTCGGAAACACCTCAGCTGACCAGCAACTCCAGAAAGCAGCCGACCTACATCAAGCTCCCTGCAACCACCATCTCCAAAAAAAGTATACTCCCTACCAACCCAGCGTCATGTATTTTTACAGCTGGTATAAGTGTGTGAAGCTGATGGGTAGGGTGGTATATCCCATTCTATGAATTTCATGAATTCATGATTAACACTACACACACACTTGTATTAAAATGCATCAAAGTGGTTAGGATATTTACTTTTGTTACCCCACCTCCCCTCCTTCCCTCCACCCACCTTTTTCCCATATTTCCATCCTTAACCATCCTTCTTCCTTCCCCATTTTACCAAAGCTTTGGTCATAACTAAACCTTCACTTGACGCCGGCATATAAGCGCCAAGCTTCGTGCCTGCTCCTTAGATTTTTCAAAAGTACGGTACTCTTCATTAACTCCAAGGCTTAGGAACTGATTAACTCATCTTCTGTATATATATATTTTTTAAAAATAAATAAGCACACTATGTACAGTGTTCAAGAATTTTACAACAAGCTAGAATAGTAAATGATAATGAACCACACAAAAGGGAGCTCGGTACGGCGTAAGGTGTCACTAGCTCTATTTACCCAAAATAAAACAACCACACCAAAGGGCTGAGATCTCATTGGAATGTAACTACTGTGTGGCTGAAACCAGTTTGGTCATTCTGCTGCATTCAGCTGATCAACTTCTTTTGAAAAGGTCAAACGCCATAGAGGTCTCTGGTAATTTCAGCCCAAGTGGGGGTCACACGCAACCGCTGTGTGGTGGTGCTAAGAGATGTCCGTACTCCCACCAGTACACAGCTACAACGACATGTGGCAAGTATTGTGTGCCTCGAATACTTAATACTCGGTGAACACAACAGTCTCACTACCAACACAGTCATACTCCACAAAAACAATTGCATAACCTACAGATCAATAACACTAATGTTGAACAATATCAAAATCATTAAAACTCTAATTAGGAAGTAAGACTGTCACATGGAATCACATCAGTTGAACAATTCAGAGCAACATGGGTTTAGAGTTGATATTGCCTTTCGCAATTGCTGAACCATTATGACATGGTCTTGTATGCACTGGAAGACAAGCAAACTGTTGATGTAGTACACGGATTTTACAAAAGCCTTGGAGAATTGCGACCATAGTGTGATTGCGCACAAAATGAGTGCAAAAGGAAGAGCTGGGAAAGTGTGTAGATGGATATTTATCTTCATAACAAATGGAACCCAAAGAGCTATAGTACAAAGATTGAAATAATGGGCTGCCACAGTGAAAAACTGTATTACAAGGCACATTACTCGCACCACTTCTCTTTCTCACTTTTGTATCTGATATAGGCAGACTATACTGTAATTTGTATCAGAGTGGTATCCACCGAGGACTCATTAAACCTGCAATATGACAAAGTTATGGGCCTTCTCCATACACAACTAAATTCCACCCATCTCTGTACAAACATTATATCATGCTAAAATAGAATTATTATTATTATTGGGCCACTGACAACAATGTGATACTCTATGAGGACAAATTTCAGTTATTTTGATATGGAAAAAATGAGTCAATATAGACTGATTTGGGGTACAACACAAACTCAAATCATCCAGTAAAGTCACAGACTCACATTCCAGGATCGTAGCAATATTATCACATCTGCTAAGAAATAAATGGTGAATAGCACGAACATTCAAAACAACAGATCTCAAGCCAATTATGATTCACTTCTAGTAAAATGTTTTCTCTAGGCTGGAATATTGCTGTATACTAATGGCCCTCGTCAGTATTTATATATATTTAGTCAAGCACTTGACTTACTCAAAGTGCTTGAGGTCCCTTAGCCTGTACTCCTTGGAATGTAGGCGAGAAAGATACGTATCAATTTACACATGGAAATTTCTGGAGGGATTGATTACAAACCTGCCTGATGAAGTTACTTCGTGTAAAGCAAGAGGTTGGCAGATAGTGCAGAATACTTCCAATGACAACCAGGAGTGCGATAAGTACATGATGGAAAAAAACTTCAACAATTTCCCTTAATGAGTAAGAGTAATTACCAACAAACTCATACTTGTCTTCCTCATGTCAGTTATTGATCAGTTAGGTTGTAATGCATACGTTTATCTGCGTGTGGCTGGTACCAGCAACCTGGTCAGTCAGGCAAGTATCCAGGAAGCCTGGTTACGTTAAGTTAGGTACGATTCGTCAGGAAAAAAGAACATGTGTTTCATGACGCGGGTCTTAGTCATATAACCCGCCACTGGAGCTTTTAGTCATTTGACCGAGGCCTTCCACTGGTTTACCCGTCCACCCCTTTAAAAATTAATGTATAGAAAGCCTGGTCTGAGGCTGGGCCGCAGAGGGGAGGAGCCAACAAGCCTATTTCTGGTAGTCTTCAGGTAATCCTCGTATTCCTGAATGCATTGTGTGAATCCTATGTAATGATGCTTCCCAAGAACATAATAATAATCGAGGGTGCAACAGACAAATAAAGCAGCAAGCAGCAATCAGCAAATGTAGCAAGAGGCATCCCTGAGCTTCCCCAGTGCTCGGGCTGAGGCCCAGAGCTGGAGTGTGGCTCTAAAAGGATCATATAGTGCTTGCTGTTTTTGTACCTCCTGGCATGGTCTGCTCCTACCTAGCTGCCACACCCTTCGAGCACAGTGAGGCGGAGTTTCTGGCAGTCCAAGGTGCCTGGCTTCTCCCTACGAGCTCAGAGGGCGGGGAATGGGGCTAGGCCTGGGGACAATTGGTCCCAGACGATGAAAAGGTACTTGCACCTCTTGCCATGGAAGACAGTCAAAATACTCCTGCGATAGGGAGTCAAGGCCGAGTCACCAACTGGAAGAGATGCGGGCCAAGATATTACAGGCAAACCTCAAATAATAAACAAATAATAATAATAATAATTACATCAATAATAATAACCACAATAATTATAATAATAACAATCACATAAAACAAAAAGAACAATCATGAAATAATTATATAAGCAACAACAACAGCGACAAGAATTATAACAATCTAGATCTCAATATTTCAGACTTGGAATGTTGTTTTACTGAATACCTTCATTGTAAGTATGATCTTGACATTGTCTAACATAGCTAACGTCATTCATGACATCCATGTAGGCACCAGTAATCATTCATGACATCCATGTAGGCACCAGTAATCATTCATGACATCCATGTAGGCACCAGTAATCATTCATGACATCCATGTAGGCACCAGTAATCATTCACGACATATTTAACAAGGACAAGTTTCAATTGCTCCGCTATGAAAGAATAGTAGCAATAAAGTCTGTAACGGTGTACAGTACGAACTTTTAAACCATTCAGTAGAGCGAAAGTCCTATGTGGGAGACTTAGGAGTAATGATGTCAGAAGATCTCACATTCTAGGATCACAACAATGTTGACATTACAGCCACAAGGAAAATGGAAGGCTGAATTACAAGAACTTTCAAGGCTAGAATACCGTTGTATACTAACGGCCCTCTCCAAGGCAAACGAGATTTCTGGGAACTTTCACTACTCGCATGAGCTCTGTGAAGCATTTAAACTCCTGACAATGCTTGAAGTTCCTTCAGCTGTATTCCTTGGGACGTAGGCGAGAAAGGTACATAATAATATACAGCTGGAAAATCCTGGATCGTTTGCTTCCATTCCTGAACACTGAAATCACTCTGTATGACAACAAAAGACTTGGTAAACGGTGCAAAATATCTCCACTAAACATCAGGGGCGCGACGAGTATAAGAGAGAACTCGACAAGTGTCAGAAGTGCCAGACACTTCGTGTCCTCCCTCCGTACATAAAGGGATTACCAACTAATATTTGTTTGTCTTCAAGAGGTAACTGGACAAGTTTCTCATCAGTCGTTTCTTACACACACATGTAGCGACCAGCAGTCATTTATAACACATTCATAACATCCACACAGACACTAACATTCATAATATCAACACATACACTAACATTCATAATATCAACACAGACACTAACATTCATAATATCAACACAGACACTAACATTCATATTATCAACACAGACACTAACATTCATAATATCAACACAGACACTAACATTCATATTATCAACACAGACACTAACATTCATAATATCAACACAGACACTAACATTCATAATATCAACACAGACACTAACATTCATATTATCAACACAGACACTAACATTCATAATATCAACACAGACACTAACATTCATATTATCAACACAGACATTAACATTCATATTATCAACACAGACACTAACATTCATATTATCAACACAGACACTAACATTCATAATATCAACACAGACACTAACATTCATAATATCAACACAGACACTAA